GACGTATGTACTAATGATAAATGTTTATTTATGAGATGATATTGTGGAAAAATGTGACTATTGAAAGTGTCTTTTCCCTTCCTTCTTGAACCTTAGTCAAGAGCACAATGGTTTAAGGTCACTGTCTCTTGTTTAAGATCACAAGTTGTACTGGTTGCTACTTTCTTTTTCCTATGCTTCTCAATAGCTGAATGATCTCAATGGGGCACTTTGATTAAGATCACACTGGTTAATGTATAGATTGATTGCTCTGTTCTGTCTGATTGATGATCAGATGAGATGATGATCTGTTGTGATGAGATGATCTGATGAGATGAGATGATGAGATATTGGAATGAGGGGGGAAAGCCCCTCCTTAAATAGTCTATTTTACAACCCGGCTGACTTGTGGTTCTAGCCCTAACCTATAATCTATAAAAGGCCAACTTGTGGTTCTAGCCCTAACCTATAATGAATATGCATCTAATCATCTGGCCAAATTGTGGTTTTGCTACTATACAAGATTCACAGTGTACCTACGAACAATGTGGCCAACTGGTGGTTACACTATGCAATAATCATTTTTTATGCAAATAAAATTTAAATCCCAAATAACTTTTGACTGAGTGGAGCTAGCCTAGTGGTTCCAGTGAGTGACTATGGGTTAAATGACCCATAGAATGTGATTATGCCATAATACGCTTAAGAATATATGCCCTTCTACATATTGAACTGTGACTTTATGCAATTTGATACTTGAAACACAATTGGCATACTACATCCTCCCCCAACTTAATGCTGTCCGCAGCATTCCTGTTTCAAATATCAAATTTTTTCCAGACACCAGGATTACCCCAATTTTGGACATATGCACCACAACTACCCATTTAATAGACAAGCTCCACCCCCTCATATGCCGTAGAATTGAACCTTGCAACCCTTCCATGACCAGTCTTTACCAAGCATCTCACACATCAATTCCTAGATATCACTGAGCACATCAGATCTTGTACTAAAAACTCCTTCTTGATCCATTGTCTTTCTGATTTGAATTGTAGTTCTGCTCTGAGTTTTCATATATCCAACGAATTTCTTCTCAAGTAATTCATCCAACAGTAGTATCATCTATCCCCTTTAGAACTCCTCGTCCTCCCGTACACCTGCCACGTCCAAATCAAAGGCGCCTAATGAATCTATTTCAATCTCTTTCATCTCATTGGTCCAAGGAAAAGGCCAGTGGTTGATGTATTTGAAAGAGGCCCCTCAAAAATCTCCATATGCTGAGTTCCATGGTTGTCCGAAACACCTTCAAAACACCTTTCCCCCAGCGGAATACTCCTAAGCCTCCTTCAAATAATCCCCAGTTTACCAAAAAAAGTTTTAGCCATACTACTGTTTGAATCATTACCCAAAAAAACCCATGTCTTCAATCTCCACCTGGTTAGTGCTTTCTCTTCTGTCCCCTATCCTTCAAATCAATGGTTCATGTGATCCGGTAGTTCAAATTATTCAGGAATATTTGGTGGTAATTATATTTCTTGTAAATCCTGTCCGTTCTTTCCCCAAATTTCATTCTTCTTTTCTTGAAATCACAGAAGGTTCCACTTTTAGAGTGTACAGCATTTTTGTGAATCCAGTTGGTCTTCTCCACATCAATTTCAGATTAAGGTCATGATGGACCCCGGTTTCCAGTTGTTTCTGCATTTTTACAATACTTTCAGTTTAAGGTCATGAGGGACCAACTTTCTTCAACTTTTCACACCATTTCCAGTTTGAGGTATTTTTCTGTAGTTTAAGGTCATGATGGACCCCCTTGAGATCATTTGGTTTTTCAGTTTAAGGTCATGGAGGACCACAGGTTGGTTGATTTTTCAGTTTAAGGTCATGAAGGACCCCAGATTGGTTGATTTTTCAGTTTAGGGTCATGAGGGACCCCCTTTTCTGTTTGAAAGATCTTCAGTTGAATTTTTTTTTCAGTTTTAAGGTCATGAAGGACCCCATTTTCTTTAGACTGTTTGATTTCAGTTTAAGGTCATGAAGGACCCTTTTATTTTTTCAATTATTTTCACTGAATTCAGTTCAAGGTCATGATGGACCCTCTTTTTTTTATGTCTCTGCTTGAATTTTTGATGGGTTCTGTTTTGCCTGGCCAGTCCTTCAGTTTATTGTATAGCCCCCTATATAAAACTTGACCTGATGCTCTTGTATGTTGTTTGGAATTGATGGTGTCTTCTGATCTGGCCAAATCTTCTTCCTGTACTCAATTTTTTCTATGATGCAATTGCAATCTCTATTCAATCAATGATGGAAGACCCATATTCCAAATTAACCCTCAGCATCACTAGGTGCCACCGTCTGCACCCTCAATTGATGACTGGGTTTCTTTTGCAAAAATTTGGTTCTGATTAATCGGACTTCTAACTCCGACTAACTTGTGCAGAATGCAATATTGTGATTGGCAAGTGTAAGTCTTGTGTTATTTACAGCTGTTCCCAAAAAGCTTGCGGTTTGGGAGCGGCTGTATTTCAGAAGATTTTTTTTTTGCGCCATCGAATTTTAGCGCCTCACAACCTGTACAGATGACGGTACAGGTTCTGATTTGGCTGCCGAGGCCTCGGGGTGGGTCCGGACGCCTGCCGGCTGCCAGGCAGGGGTAGGCTGAGCCTCCATGTGATGACCGGTTCTAGGCCAAAAACTTGTGAGGATTACGATGATCCAACTCCCACACACTCAACTCAAAAACTGTGGGAGTTGGGTCATTTTGCCTGAAGTACTGTGGCCATACAGGGCCACGTACAGGAGAGAGGGGCGCTAAAAAACCGAGGCGCAAAAAGAAAATCTTCGGAAATACAGCCGCTCCCAAACCGCAAGCTTTTTGGGAACGGCTGTACTATGGCTTCGGTTCATCCAATACTACGGCTGATTGTGTGCTCTTTGGCTTGTTGTCGATCACCTGCGAGGCCAATCAACATCCAGAATTACTTATATATAATCCTACCCGCCATAAGTCCTTGATTCGCCAATACTTTGTATGCAGTTGAGTTTAATGAACAAAGAATTCTTCCTGCATACGTATCCACCACCTCCCTCAAACATCATTTCCATCAATCCTTCTTCAGCCATTGCCAGGACCTTCCTTTGATCTTGAATCAAAAGGGTACATATGTAGTCGTGTTTATTTGTAGATCCCGGTACACATGACTCCACCGTGCCGGTGGCAGTGTCTATGGATCTAGGTTGTCCTTGGATTCCTGGTCTATCATCCACTCATTGCGCGCTGGTGTGGTCACATCATCATTCGATTCTTCCGATTTTTGGAAATCTATCGGCTTTAAGCTGAGTTGAATGCTGTGCACCCGCAACCCTTGCGAATATAAAAGCAGGCTCTCTATTCGCTCTCCTCCCCCTCTTTTACCAACAACCACTCCATCACTTGAGAAAACTGATGCTACTGAGCTCGGTCCGACTTTCTGGTATGGTCAGACTCGAGTAGCCTTTTGAATAGTCTTCTGTTTCAATCAAATACTTGTATATAGCTTATTTTTCCTTTGCAATGCCATTCACATCTCCCCTCCTGTTATCTTGTAAAAGAAATCGCTTTAAATCTTGAATTGAGCCTTTGTAATTGCTTAGGCAGTGTTCCTGGACCGATTGGTAGAACAGCCTCCATGTTTCTTTTTTATTTGTAACTTCTTGTGCGATCTCTTCCAAGCTGTAAACTATAGCTCCTTCCTGCTTGTCTAAACACCTTGCTTCTTGTCGGAAACTGTGCTAAGATTGAACCTGCTATACCAAGAGCTCCTTGTCTAGAAGAATTGCTGCTTATCAGGTTATAATTCCAATCGGTTTCCTAGTGATTGGCTTTTCTTCTCGCGCGAACTCGTTTAACATGTAACTAGTCGCTGCAGTGCCTGCTTGTCTAAGTATCTTGATTCCTATTGTCGCTATAAGTGACTTGCTTGCTTTTGATTGATGTGTGAAGCATGATCCTTCAGAACTTGACCATTAATAACACTTAATCCTCTCCTTTGCGATTACTTGCTCCTCCTAGTCTTATCCTTATGAAATCTGTATCACACAAATCCTCAGAACCCCAGTTCGCGAACTGTCTTCTCTTCCTTCTAGCTGCTCGCGCCAAGGCTCTTTCCCATTGAGGTAGTTCTGACTTGGTTCCTCAATTACTCTGAGCGAGCTGATTGCTGAAAACGACTAGGAGCTTTAAATTGAGATCAACCTCATCTTTTTGCGCGATCTCTTTTATCACATAACTAGTTTCTGCCTGGTTCTCTAGACAGTTTTATTGAGCTTGTTGCCATCTTTGCTGGGACAGACTCTAGTTTTTTCCTTGCTTTTGATAGCTTGCTCAACTCTTTAAAGTTAATCCTCCCCTTTTGCGATTACTTGTGCGGTTTCCTGATTGTTAGATACCATTGCTCTGCTGGTTTCTTTTTTTTCTATGGGATTCAATTCATGCTACAAGCTAAGCTTCCCTTTGAAAACTGTCTTCTCTTCCTTCTAGCTACTCGCGCCAGGGTGTTCTCCAGAGCAGTTCCACCTTGGCCCTTCTGATTGTTTTGTTGTATAAAAACTGTTGCTGCCTCTTCTATCCTTGTTGATCATTCACATGAGCCCATTGTCACCTTTCCTAAGAAGGATTCCAGGACCTTGCTGGCCATTATAAGGTCTCCCCTTAATAACTATTAACTCCTCCCTTCTGAGATTAGGCCAACAGTTCTTTTTTCATACAAAAAGGAGAAAAGAAGCTAGCTGCTTCTATATAAAGCTTTACATATATCTTGCCTTGAAGTTGATGGTTGTCTTGACGGCCAGATTCCACAACTACCTGTGGTTGATTGATCTGAGCTCAACTGATATGTGATATCCATTTTCCTGATTCTTGAATATATACCTATAGCTATTTTCTTTTACTCTGCTGGATAAAACCTCCATTGTCCCCATATTTGAAATAAAATAAAGTAACCAAAAATTGTTTTCTAGTAGTACATTATATGAATAGAAAATCAGTTGTTTGATTGAGTTCCCTCTTGCATGGGACCAAAAACAGATTTCCTCCCCCTTGAAAAGGGTTTGTATCCAGGTATTTTCTTTTCAGCCCATCTCAGTCCTTTTTTGTCTTCATTGTATATACTGATTCTGAGTTTATATCCAAGTTGGCCGTATCTGGACTCCCAGGGGCCTTCATTCAAAAATGCTTCTGTTCCAACATCAGTGAGGATGAAATCCAAGTTACTGGCTCCTCCACCAGGTAAATCTTGAAGCAGTTGATGATTTCCTTTTATTTCATAATAATACCATTCTTCTGAAAATACACTTCTAACCAGTTTCAGGAGTCTTTCATCCTTCCAGAGGTTGTTGGAATATTTATTGTGCAAAGGTGGAAATTTCTGATAGGTCTTGCTCTGTTGAAGTTCTAAATTTGGTTCTTGGGGAATAGCATTCTCTAAATCTGAAAGTGGGCAAAGTTCTTCTACGTCCTGTGTCTCTTTACGGTCATATTCTATTTTTGCCTCTCTGATGTGAGAATAACTGTCCCAATCTTTTACTTGAGCTTCATTTTGAAAAATCTCCACAATTTCTTCTTTTAAGACCTCTGGTGAATCTGTTGGAAATGACTGTGATATCTTCATTTGTTTGAGTAACATATTTAAAGTCTCCTGCATACACTGAATTGAATCTTCAATTTCTGATATTTTGGCTTGATTCTTTAAAATGATTGCTAACTGCTCCATTCTGAATTCTTCTTGGGTGGACATTCTTGACTCTAGCTTAAGTTCCGGAAAGAATTTCTTGAAAACCGCAGCTGTTGCCTCCCTTTCCCTTGACCTTGGTTTGGTCCTTGGTTGATTTTTCAAAGTTCTAACTTCACTGTCTGCTAGTTACCCAGTTCCCCCGTGCGCGCCCCAGTTCCCTTTGTTATCCACTTATCTAGTCTTCTGGTGCTGAGGGAGAGTTATTGTTGATCGTCTGAACGTTTTTTTGGCCACTGTTGGGACACCAGATGTGAGAACTCCTTTGGGAATGGTGGCAGTCCTGTGAGGGGGAAATAGCAGATGAGATATATCACGTATGTAATGATCTACTACAACTGTTACGGCTGGTTTGAAAGACCTGCCCCTCTATTGTACTACACAAGAGTTAACACAACAATTTATTTTTATTGTTGTGGCAAAACTGATGATAGAGAAAACTATGTGTAGCAGTCTCTTATCAAACCTAGATCAACGTGGATTCAGCAGACTTTTTGAGTGGAAATGTTGAGTAAGAGGTGTTTTTCTGTTTATATGTTTATGTATTTTGAAAAATGATTGACGTATGTACTAATGATAAATGTTTATTTATGAGATGATATTGTGGAAAAATGTGACTATTGAAAGTGTCTTTTCCCTTCCTTCTTGAACCTTAGTCAAGAGCACAATGGTTTAAGGTCACTGTCTCTTGTTTAAGATCACAAGTTGTACTGGTTGCTACTTTCTTTTTCCTATGCTTCTCAATAGCTGAATGATCTCAATGGGGCACTTTGATTAAGATCACACTGGTTAATGTATAGATTGATTGCTCTGTTCTGTCTGATTGATGATCAGATGAGATGATGATCTGTTGTGATGAGATGATCTGATGAGATGAGATGATGAGATATTGGAATGAGGGGGGAAAGCCCCTCCTTAAATAGTCTATTTTACAACCCGGCTGACTTGTGGTTCTAGCCCTAACCTATAATCTATAAAAGGCCAACTTGTGGTTCTAGCCCTAACCTATAATGAATATGCATCTAATCATCTGGCCAAATTGTGGTTTTGCTACTATACAAGATTCACAGTGTACCTACGAACAATGTGGCCAACTGGTGGTTACACTATGCAATAATCATTTTTTATGCAAATAAAATTTAAATCCCAAATAACTTTTGACTGAGTGGAGCTAGCCTAGTGGTTCCCATGAGTGACTATGGGTTAAATGACCCATAGAATGTGATTATGCCATAATACGCTTAAGAATATATGCCCTTCTACATATTGAACTGTGACTTTATGCAATTTGATACTTGAAACACAATTGGCATACTACACCGGCTATGGCATCCGATGGAACATCAAGTGGCAAAGTCGAGACCGGGCGTACCAGAGTCGAAATGTGATCAACAAACTCATTGAAAACGAGAAAGACCGGCAAGAAAGAGATGGTGGTAAAAGCTTTTACCAGGATTGCGAGATCACCCGAGGTGACTGGGAAATTGTAAAGCGACTAAATGATATACTTAGTGTCAGTGTTTTTTGATTTTGATTTTCATTTTCTTCATTAGTCTCCTGAATGTTTGAAATTTGTTAACTAATCATTGTATTGTATGTTTCAGGAGTTTTATTTCATAACTAAAAAAATGGAAGGCGACCATTCCTCGTGTGGTATGCTTCTAGTGGAATATCAATCAATCAAAGACTTCCTCAAGGACCGCCTTGCCTCTGTGACTGAAAATGAATTCTGATCAATGCTGAAGAAGATGATTGAAAAGACTGAAACTTACCTTGCGGAGGCTTTAGCCTGCAACACAATACTCTTAACAACCATGTTGAAACAGTCATATCGGCTTTCAATATTTCAAGCATACTTCTCTTCTCACCACAAATACGCCGAAATATTGCTTCAACAGAAATTTGACAAACGCAAGGCAGAACTTGCTGCTACTGTTAGCTCAAGAGAATCAACTCCCCAGCAGCCATCCCAACCCCAGAAAACCAGCCATCGATGGCCAATCGATGATTTAAATTTATTCCCTGGGGCCGTGGAATCTGCAAATGCTGACAAGTTGGCCAACTACCTGGGTGGTAAGTATAAGGTTCTTCCGGCTGATGCAGACCAGTGTCTAGTGTGGTGGAAAGTAAGTATCCTATTTGGGATATCTGAATATTGCATGTCAGTTAAAGACTCATTTCTCTTTTGTATTTCCCTTCAGGAACATCACAATGAATTTCCCACATTAGCCTCCTTGGCCAAGGATTATCTTGCTTGCTCAGCAACCTCAGCTAGCGTGGAACGATGCTTCTCGGCTGCTGCTGACATTTGTGCGAGGGATCGAGGGAGTTTAGCACCCAGAACAATCGAAAAGTCAGTAAGCTCTCACCAGTGGTTGAAACAAGGATTCAAGGCCGATGGGGATTTTGAAAGAGCGCAGGTGATTGTCAGTCAGGATTTAGTTGACCACCATGAGAGCAGACATGAGGCAGCTACAGCCAGCAAATGATACACTTTTCACCTCTTTTCTGTGCATTTCTGTGTATTTTTTGCATTCAGATGTTGTTTCTCTATTGTTTGCTTCATTTCTCCCACCCCTCCAACACTCACAAAAGCAATAATTGTATTGTATCCAGATCCTGTCATCTTATTACATCTCTGAAAAAAATGGGTTTTTAAAGGTTGTATTGTATTTGCTGAAACATGAATACAATGTATTTGGTGCAAAAAATGAGAAAGAAAAATCAAAAGGAAAATAAATCAACAAAAAAGAGAAAAAAAGAGAAAAAAAAAGAGAAAAAAAAGAGAAAAAAAAAGAGAAAAAAAAGAGAAAAAAAGAGAAAAAAAAGAGAAAAAAAAGAGAAAAAAAGAGAAAAAAAAGAGAAAAAAAAGAGAAAAAAAAGAGAAAAAAAAGAGAAAAAAAAGAGAAAAAAAAGAGAAAAAAAAGAGAAAAAAAAGAGAAAAAAAAGAGAAAAAAAAGAGAAAAAAAAGAGAAAAAAAAGAGAAAAAAAAGAAAAAAAGGGGTTTTAAAGGGAATACAACCAAAACTGTATTTGTAAATACAATGTATTCGTATTGTATAGGCTAGAAAATGAATACAATGTATTTGTATTGTATTCACTAGCAGATGCAATACATGTATTTCAAAATACATGTACTTCTGACGAAGTGCAATACGCTGTATATGCCTATACAATACGCGTATAGGACTCGTTGCACCGTTGCTCATTCCAATCATCTCATCATCTCATAACATCTCATCTGACCAACAACCAGACAGAACAGAGCAATCAATCTACACATTAGACAGAGTGATCTTAAACAAGTGCCCCATTGAGACCATTCAGACCTTGAGAAGCAGAAGAAAAGGAAATTAACAACCATTACAAACGTGTGCTCTTAAAAATAAGAGGAAGTGATCTTGAGCCATTGTGCTCTCTACCAAGATTAAGGAAGAAGAGAAAGACACTCTCAATAGTCACATTTCTTTCTTCAGTATCATCTCGTGAATTCCCATTCATTATCAGTACATACGTTGTAAGACTCAAAAGTGGTTGTGAGAACCCTTTTGCTGAATGTTGAAGGGTATGGTGGAGTTGCAAGCTCTGCCCTTCTGTACTATCAGATAACAAGACCCACCAAGCTTAGCTTGGCAAGTTTTAATCAAGTGATAGGGGTGGTTGGTTCGAGATTTCTTTGTTTGATCACAGTTTAATGATGTAAGAATTGAGTTTCTGAGAGTATGAAAGTGAGTTTAGTGTGTATTACAAGTGTAAGGGTTGTTATTGGGTGTTATAAAGGTTGTTACAGTATGTAATGTTAATGGTATGGTATGTAATGGTAGGGGGTATGTGATTTTTGGGTACTAAACTGAGGGGAAAAACAACTGGGAGGAGAGCCTCCTTAAATAAACAAAGGTGAGGGATTTTAGCTTCAGGGGAACAAGAGAATGAGAGATTTTAGCTGGCCAGAGCTTTACAATGAGGGGATTTAGCTAGTCAGGACATGTACATGAGGTATTTTGGCTGGTTG